ACATGCAGCAATGTATTCGTTACAGTTTTCGCGAACAAAGATCCGGATCGGATGTTACAATTTGGTGGATATCTATTTACGTACGTACGTATATATATATATATATATGTATGTATGTATGAACATTCCTTTTTTCTTTTAATTATTAGATTTTATTGTCGTGAAACGGTTCTTTGCATCTTGTTCATCTTGGATTATGTATTTTCGAATCATCATGTATTATCTAGCGAAATTCATTTGGTCTTTGAAGTAGTTTTGATAGCAAAACAAAACAAATTGCAGCACAGGTTATAAACTAAGTAATAATATATTGGAATACATGGCTTTAATGATTTTTCATAATTTATTTATTCTTACGCTTTGATTATCTTTTGATTATTTAGACTGATCTAAAATTAATAGACTGATAACATTTATCATTCAAAGTTTGTTCACAGTATCATAGATAATTATTTTTATGATTATTTTTATGACAATATTTGATTCATTTTCTTTCTTGTTTTTCCTTTTTTTATTCTTTTATTTGATATTTAAAACTTTACAATGCCGTCCTGTAACATTAAAGTACAGAAAAATTAATGTTACACATAAAATAATTACTTTTTTGCTTATCAATTTTAATTCTTTTAAATATGTAATATAATTATTTTTCATATGAGTAATTGCAATATTTTGTCATAAAATACATCTACGATGCTGTACAATCAAATGATAACAATTGACTAATATTTTTTACAGTTCCTTTCAAGTTCTGCTTAGATTATGTTCTTCTTTATATATATATTTATAAATTTAAGAGTGGATAAGATAAGAAGATAGTTATTAATGACATTTTGTCGGCTAATCCTACCCTATAAACGTTTTTGCTCTAATTATACATTGTTTCGACAAACTTAACAGTAAAAACCAAATGTTTATCAATTAACTCATTTAATAACTATTTTGTATATTATATTAAAAATAGCAATCGATGATATCGCATTCTCGCAGAAAAGTGATGTAAGTCGAAATTTTTTAAATTTTGTATTATGTGCGAATTATTCTAAATACTTCTGCCTTTAATTAGGAAAAATGACAAATTGAATATTTTCTTAATAAAATAAATCAAAAGAAGAATAGTTTTTCGATGTAACGTAATACTGATGATACCATAACAAAATTAATACCTATATTACTTCTAGAGATTTACTCTAACTTATGTTTAATACTATAGTAAATAATTAATTTAAAAATACATTATTTTCTTTTCTTTTAAAAAATTTAATATTTTACTTGTGTTACTTTTCTTGCAAGTGTACGATGTGTGCCTACTATTTTTTTAATATATATTGAAAAAGTACACACACACACACACACACACAGTTTTATACATATATTTATATATAACCTCACTATATAAGCAATGAAAAATGATCTGAAGACTATTGATTAATTATTTTCGTATGTGATTAGAGGTCTTATGACTAATTTTTTTATTGTATCCAAAATATCGAATATTTGCAATTTGTTGCTCATTAATCATTCAAATCCAAGATATAGAGCATTAAATGTTTTCTACATTTGTAGAAGAATAAGCATGAAATGTACTGCGTTCGATATCATGGACAAAAATCATCGCGATATTTGTTTTGCTCACATTGAACGTGTTAATTATAATTAGCATTTAAAAAAAAAACAATGTTGTGTTCTTTTATTTTAGTCATTGACATTTTCATCATTTAATCAATTGTATTCTGTAACGATTGTAAAGTTTCGAAATTCTCTCAATAATTAATCAAGCATACGTATTAGTTTTTAATACATTTAACGATACGTTCTGGTGAAATGGAAGAAGTAGTCTAACAGTTGCGGCTCGCAATTTCGCAATTTAGTAGCCTGATTTCTTTTTTGTTATTAAATGCCCTACATAACATATAGACAGCGTCTAGAGACGTGGAAAGGTTACCAAAGCTTAGATAGGGAAGATAAAGTCTTAGTTTGTTACTTATCCGTGATCTTTGTAATCTCGAGAGAAACTTTGATTTTCGTTAGTCGTAACAATCGAGTGAGATTTATCGTTATTAATATCTCGACACTGCCAACTTCTTCCTATGCACTAGATCATCAGGGACGTTGTTTTCGTCCATTCTCTCTATTTTTCTTTACTCGTCTAGCATGTTTTCGTCTAGCATATCATATATCCATCTGTAATCAGTCTGTTTTTTTATTGATAATGATGATGATGATGATGATGATGATGATGATGATGATGATGATGATGATGATGAAGAAAAAAGTAGCAAATAAATGTTTTTCCATTCAAGGACTGGTCTCTTTTTATTTATCTCACCACACGACATTGTCGATTATCCTTGTCAAAATTATTTCTCACTTGGCTTGAATGGAAAAACCCAAGCGCGAATAACTTTCAGATGTTGGTTCTGGAAATCGTATACGTACGATGAAAGAAAAAGAGAAGAGAGAAAAATCTACTTTTCATCTAATTTTTGGATTTGTCGCATCATCTATCTTCACGAAAACGTGCCATTTCCTTATTTTGATTTATTTTTTAAAATTATTCTCGTTTTTTCGGTTGCTTTTCTTTGTTTTATTATAATAATTTATTATAATAATTTTTCCATTTCAATTGCCAAGAGTGAAAAATTATCCATCGTTTCCTGCGTCGCCCTATTGATATCGAGTCTTTGTTAAACATATAACATTTTGAAACATGAATATAATGCATCAATCTGACAAACATAGCCTACATACGATTAAAAATAAGACTCGATCTTCTCTCTCTCTCTCTCTCTCTCTCTCTCTTGAAATTTTCTTACTTCGTTTATTACTATTTGTTTTGAAAGATCTTAATAATATTTAAAAAGTGATGATAAATATAATAAAATTTAAAATAACATATCCCTTAAACAGAGTGTATACGATAAAAATTTTGAAAAAATAAAAAATTATAAAATCTTTTAAAATAAAATAAAAATTTAAAATAAAAATTATAAAATATTTTATAATTTAAACAAATATATGTTTAAAATATCAGGTAATAAAGGCTATGTAATAAAAAATTATTAAAAAATGTATATTATGATTATTAAGAAAAATTGCAATTGAGAAGTGTGCTGGATTTTGTCAATTTACATGAATTTATGTAGAATAATATTTTAATTTCAGAAATTTAAATTTGTATATCATTGTCATTACTATCATTATGTTCACATCGAATATATTTAATACAAACGTATAAATACAAAAACGTATAAATACAAACGAAATATTACACATCTAAATCGATAATGAAACAACAGTTAGATACAGCAGTTAAACAATTTTAAATGCGGCGATACTATTTTAGATTCAAATCCACTCGCTTAGGTTATTATTACGGTTTTTTAATATAAATTATGTTGTCTTTCGAAAATAGTCTTAGATTGCAGATTGGCATATGGTGGGTATAACATACAATATATATATTGTAAAAAACGTGTGTTTTGCAATGTATAACGAGTGTTCTTCTCTACGACTGTTTTCTTCTTTCTATTTCCTGTTTTTTTCTTCGAATTACCGATCAGTTATTTGCACGATTGAATGTACTGACCGAAATGTGTCGGCGAGTGTATAAGAGAGCCGAGTTTTGTAATTTTTTTTGAAAACTTTTAAACAAATATTGCTGCTCCCTTATTATTGCTTTTGGATTTGTGTATAAATCCTGCTGTGTGTGTATCGAGAGGCAGTAGGAAGCTTTCATGTGTATACATTATTTATACATACAGTGACTGGAAAAAGTATTCATACAGGAAAAAAAATTTTATTTAAAAAAACTTTATTTATAGTAAATAAATAACATTAATGAACAATTTTACAACGAAATGTTCTGTCCTAATATAAACAAAAGAATTTTGTGTGTTCTTAAAAACTAAATGTATGAACTGTATGAATTTGAATCTTTTGCGTGTCCAAATAATACATTTTTTATTTTTGTTTACTTTTAAGATAACTTTTATTATTACATATCTTTTTAGGAAAAATAATTTAAATAAATATACAATTATTTTATTGTTTATTAATAAATTTTTAAATTTCTAATTAATGTTTACTTTTTAAAAATAAGATTTTTTAAAAAGATATGCGAATACTTTTTAGACTCATTGTATATAAAATGAGTATTATACATTGTATGTATAAATGAGTATATGGAAATCGTAAAAGCGAGTTCTATGAAACAGCAGGATGGCAGTGAGTTAACGATACGAAAGAACATATATAGAACACAATTGTTGGTTGAACTTTTTGTGCGGTTTTTCATGCATTATGTTTTTTCTGATGATCTCTTTCAGCATCGGGTGCGGGTGGACAAGAACGAAGGGTCAGCATGCGGTTGCATCGTAGGGATACGCTACTAGCTGCTGCAGGAGAAATGCAGCCCAAGTCCAAGTGAGTTGCTACACAATATAGAACTAAATCTGCTAAACGACTGGGTATAACTTGCTCTACTGAAATCCGCGGACATTTTCGAAGACTATGTAAGCTTGCACAGACAATAAACTATTTCGAGAAACGTTAGTTATTTCGATTGTAATTAGTGTAATACAGATAATAGGAAAGTTTTGACTTTAGAAAACGTAGACAATGCAAGACTTTCTTTATTATTATATATTTGGAATGATGTTAAAGTACGTCGCTGCATTTTGTAATTTTCTTCGATCAATTTGAGTTTTTCTTATATTCTTCGAAACATTAATATCCTTGGGATTATAATTTCTAAGGATAGAAATATATAATAAAATTTGGGTATTTTCGTATCTTTTTTTAAAATTAACTTCAGATTTTTTTTGTTTAGTTTTTAAGATGTTAGATATCAGTTGAATAATTAAAAAAGAAAGTGAAAAAGAGAGAAAAATCAATTAACAAATACGCTGCGAATGTTGGTGACTTATTTTAAAATCACTTCATATATATAGAATTCTTCACATCGGTAAATGTTTAGAGCTTGTTACACTCTCGTTTTTGATTGCATGAACATTGCACATTTGGGGACAAAAATTACATTCTAAGCCTGTTTTCAATTGTACTTATATTTGTATATTGAACTCCTGTGTGATTATAATGCTAAAGGTGACCCTACACGATCAATAATGCTTATCAGTAATACTGACAGTATATATCAATATTTTTAGTATTTTACAACCTTACTCGAGCAGGATTATTAACAATATATTTCACTATAATTTTATATACACTATCTATTGTTGTGAACACACACACACACGCGCGCGCGCGCACGGATTCTAAAGTGGTACTGATGCTCGAGAATCAAATTCCAGATTCATTATCAACATTCTATTTATATTAATCCATCAATTACCACGGTACCTTTAATCGGGTTTAATAACTGTAAATCAATTGAAACTTATCAATCATAAATTCATAACTATTTCTGTGAAGAATGGAATGATTATGATTATTCATAACGGATATTAAACTCGATAAAGGGTGCCATATAAATGTAGTTAATATTGATTGCGTTCGAAAACATCATTTTGATGCCGCGGATTCATCATGTCTTTGTTTAACATTAAATGTTGATCGTGTTAAGATCACCTTAAGTATGTAAATTTATAGTATATTAATGATGGTGTAAGTTCTATTTTTTAATTTTATCACTACATATTTATAGCTCTTATCAAATTTCACGATTTATTGGTACGTGATAAAAAAATCGATTTTAAGATTGCCATTTATGTTATGCTTGTGCAAACGCTAGATCATATATTCGGTACGCGTTAGTTGAATGGAAGCTTAATTTTGGTAGGAAGGTGGTGTCGCAATACCGTGGCATGGTACTTTAATTAATTATGTTAATTGAGGATAAATGGAGATTGAAGAAGATAGAGAGATACATTTTGTCATTTGGAAAGAATTCTCAATCTGCATATTTGTATATAGGATGTCTTGTTATATTATTTTTTAATGGTATATTTTTTTAGAACATATGATAGTAATTCTTTTACAAATGACTGAACATTATTTATTTTTCCGCAGATTTAATTTTATAAAGACGTAAGTAGATAGCATCTTATTTTTTATATAATTTACAAATAGTTATAAATATTTTTAAAGATAAAAAGTGACTACCTCCGAAATGAGTGTATCATAATATTTTTGCTTCAAAAGATTGTCCATAAAATTATGAATATACACATATTCATGGCATAGTAATGAAGACATTCTATATATGCTACTGGTATGCGAGGAGTATTGAGTAAAAAAAAACATCAAGTATATATTCATTCATATTTAACTTACATACAAGCATTCTCTCCAAATGAAAATCAGAAGTTATTATTGCTTGCTGTCAATTGCACTTTCGTAATGACACAAGATATTCCGGAAAATGTGATTACCTCTCATAAGCATATAGATGAAAAAAATTAAAATTAATATAAATTTCTATAATTTTTCTCTACGATGCCGAGATATTTATCTTTTAAGTTAAGATCTCTGAAAAGTATATTTTTTAAATAATTTATAATAATTAATTTTCATCTTAAGTAAAGATTTTTAAAATAGTGCAATAGATTTATTAGTATTATCAGAGAACCAAAAGCGATCTACTTTTGAGTCATCTAAATTTTTTAATATCTGCGTGTATACAGGGTGTTTCGTAAATTTTTACCAAGCGCTTTTGTGTAGATGGAGCAGACTAAACTGACTCGAAAAGTACCAAATACCATCAACTTTACAAAAAACTACAAGAGACAAAAATCATTTATTCTAGAGAAGAAGTCTCTTATAGTTTTTAGAGTTCGTAGAACTCTAAGAATTTTAAAAAAATTTTTTTATTATTATACTTTCTTATTTTTACCAACCATAAGAAAATACGGTATTAAAAAATTCTGAAAAAATTCTCAGAACTTTAGAGAGAAGAAAATAAACAATTTTTGTCTCTCGCTGTTTTCTTGTTGATAGTATTTGAGTAAATAATTATTGAAAATCAATATTCAGCGATTTTTAATAATTAATATCTTGTTAATTGCAAAATGGTAGAGGATTTTTCGACTCAATTTAGTTCGCTCTATCTAACAAAAACGCTTGATGGAGTGGAGATCTGGGGATGGAAAGAAAGAGGAAGTCTTGAGAAAATTATTGATGGATTATAATATATGAGATGAAATATTCAATATAGAATTCTGCATCCCAAGATATGTGATATTGAAGGAAGTAGCTATGGTATATATAAATTAAGGATTAAGGCTGGGGTATAAGAGCTGTAAGATAGAGAAGAAAATAAAGAAAACAAGAAAAGATAGATCTATTAGAAATTTTATTCTATTTTAATCTAGAAAAAAACTCACTTGATTATAATAGAGAAGGTACACTTTTATTTAGATGATGAAATAATAAATTGAATTAGAATTTATTAAAACAAAACAGATTTAGTCGAAATTATAAAAAAAATATTCGATATGGTCGGTCCTTCCCATGAATCTTTCTCGATGAATCAAGAATTGCTGTATCTTGTATGTTAGAGTTGTAAAAAGTAAGAAATTATCTTAAATCGAGTTTTTTGCAATTTTGACTAAATCTATTTTGTTTTAGTAAATTCTGCATGCTCATGAGAGATTGTTCAATTATTCCGAAACATCTTGTATAATTATTATATTATTTTTTTTAATAAATTATATTAGAATATGATTAACAAACTAATATTAAAAAATATGCAACGCATAATATAATTCCTATATCGAAGAATATATCTCTAATTGCCTGTGGCTTGCGTTGGCCTGGTCTACTATATATATAATTTTGAGACTATCGCATGTGATTTTAACAAAGAAATAATTTTTAAATAATTTTCTTGATTGTTAGATTCAAATCCAATTATACTTGATGTTATTGGGATGCCCAAAACACAAATATCGCACCAAAATAAAAATTTATAGTATTATTTCTTAACGTATGGAACATTATACTTAAAAGAAAAACATTTTTCATAATAAGTAAAAAATAAATAAAAAAATTTTTATAAATTGGTATTTACTGTGTTTAAAAAATTTAATTTGTGATATTCTATCATATCAGTATGTTATGGTACTAATAATAAGATTGTAACTATATCTTATGTTGGTTAAAAAAATATTAAATTAAGATAGGAAAATTAAGATAGGAATTAAACGATCCTTAATAAAATTGATTAAAAAATGAGTATTTTCTAGAACGCGCTTTACATTGTTTTCACTTTTTATATAAATATAATTTTATATAACATAATGAACATCAAATGTTTACGATTTTTCATGTCTAAGGTTTAAGTAAACGAACAAAATATAAATTTGACATCTGTCGCACAAATTACATCTCAAAAATTAGAGATTTAATTTTTAAATTAACTGAAATTAATTTTTTTTTTTTTTTTAATGATACTTTTAATATTAATTTAGTGTGTACTGTGTGGGGGCATCTTTTCGAATAACTGTACACGTAAAAATGCACGTTTTAACGTTCTAAATTTTTTTCAAGCATTCGATACATATCTATTTTGCAATCTAATTAAAGCATAGATACGCAAACTTATTCGGTAATTCAAAATTCATCAAAATTCCGCTTTATGTTCTTTCGTTGACTTTTTTTCAGGTAACCGAAAGCTATCGCACTAATTCTAAATGACAAAAATAGACAAAGAGGGAACGAAATTCTCTGCTGTGCCACGGTAGAGGACGCCGATCATGAAAAACTCTGATCATGGGGAAAACTTTCATCGTGCGAGCCTTCTCTCCAAGTTCATTCCTCCTCACAAGCTTGTCGGTATCATCAATCAATTTATTCATATCGTAAGAGAATCTTGCGCGAGAGAACTTTGCAATATTAGTATAATTTAGCGGGAAATGAAGAACACACAAGTAATTCTTACATTACATAATATCTTCATTCGATAATGTCTCTCCATTTAAATGTTATCGAAAAAGATTAAACATGTCTTCAAAGGCGAGAGACATGTTAAAAGAAAGAACAACGAATATTTTAATGAAGTTTGTTTCTTTTGAGACTTGCTATTAACATTTACCCTCGCTATAACTACATTGTATTTTATCATGAAGGACAATTTTATTCAATTTTACATTGTCTCATGTTAATATCAATCGATTATTCAATCTTACATAATGAAATCATAGAGAAAAGGAGCCGAGTAAAAGCGAAACTGGGGAGATTAGATGTAATGAACGAGAGAAGGAGCGCCGGAAAAGAAAAAAAGAGAGAGGGAGAGGAGAACCTTTAGCTCATTTAAGTGGTGAAGACGGTGACGCGCTAATGTCGCTGTTTTGTGTATCTTTTGTTTTGGAAGCGCCAATGCGACGGCAATCGTCCCACCCACTCTGATGGTCAGGCGGGCAAGCGTGCAACACAACAAGTGAATCAGCAGCAGCAATAGCGGATTCATCGTCATCGAAACGACCAGTAGCGTTCATCGAAATCGGCGACTGGCGATTACCTTTGTCTGCACAGCGCTTTCCCATTACCGCAAGCCGGAAATGAATTTGCGTATGGTATCGCACGGCTATTCGGCGAACGGTAACCGATTTTTCCATATCACGACATCATAAAGATCATCAGTAATAAGACTGGCGTGTACTGAATGGTGGTGCCCATGACATATGCAACGTCTGCAGAAATGTATGGAAACAACCGCGTTCCAAGTGCCGAGTGGAAACGAAAGGATAAGAAGAGAAAAACGAGTCGTTAATCTTCAATGCACGTGTTAAAAATGAAAACATAGCGTTGCGGCGAATTATAGTAACAAGATGTGGCTATCAACACTCATCGCGTCTTAAGACGCAACGAAGCAACTTCTTATTGCGGCGTGATTCTCAGGAGATTCGGTAGTCGCGTGAGTCGAGTCTACTAGAACTTTCTTTCTTGCAATCGAAGCAAGTTCTATCTGGACAACACCTCTCAACAGCGATGTTGAGGAAGATATAACGACGCTTAAAAATTACCGAACCCCTCGCGTCTTCTGCACGCAGGATGACGAAACGCGATCGTTTTCTCTTTTTTTTTCTTCCGTGACGAATCGCAAATGTACAGTACGCGGTTTCGATGATGGATTCTCGCAGTTGTTCATAATCTATAACAGCATGAGCGTACTTCGGACGACATTCACAGTTTTTACAATAACGTGAGTTACGGTCGAGCTGGCCAGCTTTGCTTCCTTTGAATTCGCATTACATAATGCCACTCATATGTGTATAAACTACAAAATACTTTATGAGTAAAGCAAATTATATTCATCGAAGTTTGGTAGCGTGATTATATCGTTTTCAAAAGGTAGCGGCATTTGTCAGATAGTAACGAAGTGCGAACGCGCATGTATCGTAACGGAAAACTGCGACGATATATTAAA